GCGAATCATCCTTGGAAGGAATCGGTGTTCTTTAGCGAGGATTTGTGGTCTATCAAATCTAATGTAGTGACGGGGGCGATCCTGTACGTGTTCACAGACTGCAGACTTCCCGGAGCGTCTATTCTTCACATCAGCTATGTGTTCTTTAACGCGGGTTTTTATGGATCTTTTAGTTTGTCCTATATAAAAGAGACCACATTCACAATCCAGTTTGTACACTCCTGCATCTTGCAGAGGAATATTACACTTAACTGATGGTAAAAACTGACTAATCTTCTTCGGCGGCTTGAAATATGTTTTAATGGAAGCACGCTTCAAGAAAAACGCTCCGATCTACATACCATAAACAAATCCATAGACACATCATTCAGTGATTTAAAGGCAGTTTTAACGACATTTGATTATAATGTTTGCATCGAAACGTTAAATAAACGAGAAATTAATAAAAATAATGAATGCAAAAACAAACATATAATAAAATATCAAAAATTAACGACCAAATTAAATGTCAAACATCTGTGTCGACGTGAGAACGAAACGCAACCGTCGACTACGAACGCGGATCATAGATTAAACGCGGTCTATAATCTGTCAAAACAAACTCTGGATGATGCAACAATTAGAGTATTATCGAAAGGTCTTAATTTTGCTATAACACCGAAAAAATTACCGTACGAACAAATTATCTGTAGTGTCGAGGACTGTTTATTTAAAAACAATATGCAAAAGGAGGATTTGGAAGCGATACGTCAAGACATTTCGTCTATGTTACGTCGAAGTTCAGCGCCAAAACCGAATCTACCTAAAGACGAATTCAAAGCGTTGACTAACCTACGCAATAAACCAGAACTCACGATTCTCCGCGCAGATAAGGGAAATGCCATGGTAGTTATGGATACGACAGATTATAATTCTAAAATACAAGAACTTTTGTCGGATGCAAGTACGTATAAAAAGGTTAAAAATGACCCAACAAATAACACACTTAAAACAACTAGTGATCTCATAAAGAAACACTCCGAAAAATTAAATCTAGACGTAAAATCGATAATACCTACGTGTGCTAAACCACCGAAGTTGTATGGGTTACCAAAAATACACAAGCCCAATGCTCCACTACGTCCTATAGTGAGCCAAATCGATTCACCAACTTACAGATTGGCTCAACACTTAGCGAATATACTCTCACCGCTCAAGGGACATACAAGAGCACACACAAAGGATTCCTACCATTTTGTCAGCGAGATTAAAGACCTACATCTGGCAGACAATGAAACTATGGTGAGTTTTGATGTGCAGTCTCTGTTCACATGCCTACCTGTTGAAGACTGCATCTCGATTGTTACTAGAAGGCTAGAGGAAAACAACATGCCCGTAGAATATGCAGTATTACTCAGACACTGCCTTACATCTGGCTACCTATTGTGGAAGGAGGAGTTCTACAAGCAAGTAGATGGTGTGGCGATGGGCTCACCTGTATCTCCCATTGTTGCCGATATATTCATGGAGGACTTTGAGGAGAAAGCCCTGCTTACTTCTCCCATAAAGCCAAGATTCTACAAGCGGTACGTAGACGACACTTTCACAATTCTACCTTTAGATAAAGTAACTGCATTTTTAGACCATCTTAACTCCTTAAATTCTAAAATTCAGTTCACAATGGAGTTAGAGGCAAACAATTCTTTAGCTTTTCTAGATGTGTTAGTAATTCGGAATCCTGATAACACCTTGAGCCACACTGTGTATAGAAAAAAGACCCATACAGATAGATATTTAAACGGTGATTCTCACCACCATCCTTCACAGTTAGCTACCGTGGGTAAATCTTTGTTTCAGAGAGCACGAGGGATCTGTGACAGTAAACACCTGGCCGCCGAGCTCCAACACGTCAAGCAAGTTTTGCACGACAATAAGCTTCGGGTCCCGCGCCTACGTCACAGTGAACGAGTGAAGCCGGCCACAGTCGAGCGAGTGCCTGCTGTACTGCCATATGTCAGAGGTGTCACTGACAAGATTGGCTACATCTTGAAGCGTGCTTCCATTAAAACATATTTCAAGCCGCCGAAGAAGATTAGTCAGTTTTTACCATCAGTTAAGTGTAATATTCCTCTGCAAGATGCAGGAGTGTACAAGCTGGATTGTGAATGTGGTCTCTCTTATATAGGACAAACTAAAAGATCCATAAAAACCCGCGTTAAAGAACACATAGCTGATGTGAAGAATAGACGCTCCGGGAAGTCTGCAGTCTGTGAACACGTACAGGATCGCCCCCGTCACTACATTAGATTTGATAGACCACAAATCCTCGCTAAAGAACACCGATTCCTTCCAAGGATGATTCGCGAGGCTATTGAAATCAAAACACATCCTAATTTCAATAGAGAAGATGGCTGGGTGCTACCATCTGCTTGGGATCCCATAATTAATAAAATTAAATTCCAACCCAAGCATACAACTGCAAGACTTCATGATACTGTGAGTTCATACTGCGTAGATCGGAACAAAAATTAATAATTTTTAATCTGGAGGTAGCCGTGGTTAACTATGACATTGGGACGTCATACACCTCAGTCCCCCCCGTGACCATGGGTGCTGTAAAGTGCTTGAAACGTCGGGAAAGTAAAATAAGTTAATATACGCGAAAAAATCCGTAAAATTAGTTTTATTTAAATGTGTAGTGTTCGCGTAAATATAAGAAATCATTATTTTTAACATTCGTTGTTGTAAATTTAATACATTTAGTTTTATTTCCGTTTAAATGTAGATTATTAACGTTAAACCAATGCACTAACTTTGATATAGCATTATTCACTTCGTCACATTTAAATGATTGACGTTTAAGTTTAAAAATCAAGGAAGTATCATCAGCAAATAATACTATATCATGATTATCCCCTACAAGAGAAGGTAAGTCATTAATATACACTAGAAATAGGAATGGGCCGAGAATGGAGCCCTGAGGTATACCCATTAGTACAGGTGACCCGGAAGAACTTTTACCCTTGATAATAACTTTCTGCATTCTATTACTTAAATATGAAATAATGAGTTTAAGCGCTGTGTTCTTGACACCATAGTTGTTACGGCCCGCAGCTGCCCTTGCAAAGGTTCAATATCCGGGGCCCATGAACAGCAGGTTCAACGGGCAGCCGCGGATTCGAGCCCGAATGGCTATATGGAAATGTCCTATCATAATAAACTATATGGAAGAATACTATAAACACATAGTACTTACCAATATCAGAAGCTAATTCCGCACCAAGGCTCGGTCAGGCCGTGAGTGGGTGTAAGGTGAATGGCAAGTAGTGTTCAGTGATGCGTAAATGTCTGAGACCTGGACCAACTTAGGAGACCAGCAGCGGCCGAGATCCAGGTTGCCCCACAATGCTATATCGCTCCAGCAGGCTCCACCGCTGGACCATTTCTTTCTTCATTGTCACTATATCAGTCTATTAGCTTCATTGTACATTTAACTAACTTAAACTCGCCTAATTCCACATTCATCGTAGAATCGAACACGTGATACCCGACACAGTAAGGACAGTAGTTTGAAATTCGACATTCAATGTCCCGGATTCACTTATCACAAAATTATAAATAGGGAACTAAAGCGATCTCTTAATGAGTTATACGGTTCAGCGTTAAACACAACTAAGTTCCTTCATTCGCCACCAAACACCACGTCGCGAAAAGAATCCAAAATACGCCTCGTTGACACGTAAACTAACGAACCAAGCAACACACAAAAAGGGGCACTTAACGCGACGGCACAATTATCATGATTTCCATACAATCAACCGGGAGACGCTCTCGACCAAGAAATGCGCGGTTCGAATCCTAGACCGTATCTCTACTCGGCGCGCGCGTGCACAATTCCGCATCACCCGAACAAGTTAAATATCACAAAATTCACATATCCACGTAGCGAAGTACACGCCTAAATCTAACTATCTGGACCCTACACGGTCGCGTGCCTTCGGCCGCGATGACCTAGATACGTGGCTTCACCGCCTCGCGGCCAGCGAACAACTCTCAACTCTTCGCCCACGCGTCGAGCCACTCAAGCCGTACACCGCCGCCCTACCTGGCGGCGTTTTTTCACCTTCATACTATCGGGTGACGCGACAGCTCGAACGCAATTGGATGGTGTTCTCCATGACCAAATTTGGGCATAAACAAACCCCCGTCCCGGACATAAGGACTTATGTCCGAGAGCAAACCGACAAGCGGGACAGGGCCGCGATGGCACGCTGCAAGACCGAATCTACAACCAAAACCAAGCCACCTTAGGTACCCCATCAGATCTTGCAACCCTAGCCATCGCCTCAAAAGACAGCCCCAATGTGGGCAAGCCGGATGGTCAACCTTCACTGGTTGCCCCTCCTGGGCATCGCGGCACCCTAGCAAGTCCTGTACTTGACAGAAGTCCGACGACCTCCCTCAAGCACCCATCTGTGCCCCCTATGATTCGTTCCGCAATCCGAACGGATCAGGTCTGCAAACAGCGACGCGACACGAGGCGGCCCAGCGTGGCCTCCTAAGCTTCAATGCAGAGAGCACCCACTAATTCTACATGAACGTCGTCTGTGGAGAGCCAAACGAAAGGCACAGATAGTCCCCAGCATGAATTTTCAAACAAGCAGGCATAACCAAGCCATCCACCATATAATCATTTACTCAAATAGTGCGGCAGCTGATTTCAATCTGATAATCTCCAAACTAGCTAGCCTCTTAGACAAGTAGTCCTATGCTCACATTTCAACTAATTTTCAAAAGCATCATTGTTCAATCTTAGAATTAATTCAAACAAATTAATCACCGATGCACATAGGTCAAACTGACAAATTAAACAAAACGAAAAACGTAAAAGACAGCCCTATTTCTCATTCCAAACAAATAGCTTCGACAGTGCCAACAAAATGTGAAAACAGTTGCCATGGTAACGCCAAACTTTATTGACACGAATTTTAATTACGGGATTTCTTATGATTCTTTAAAAAATGGAATCTAATAATTCAGATGGAGATATCAGTGATTCCGAGTTAGCGACTTGTGAGATGCCCATATCGACATATTTAGAAGGTGATAGGTCCAAAGAGACTAAGCAAAAGTGTGTAATAAAAAGGAAAACAAGAGAAGATAAAGACAATGAAGACGAGGAATTTACAACCGTCACTAAAAGAAAATCTAAACGGATTGAGAGGGTTCCTCAAGAAACTGAGGAGCAACATAACAATGAGAGAACTTCTGTGAAAGATTTAGAATACTATGAAGTGTGTGTAACATCATTGGAATATTTACCAAAACAAATGGCGCTTGCAAAATTACTTCGAACACAAAATATTAGGAATATTACTAGAATTAAGTATAAGAGTCCATTTAAAGTGCTTATTCAGTTCAAGCAAAAAGAAGATGCTTTACTTTTGATGAGTTGTAAGAAGTTAACGGAGATGGGTGTTAGATGTCAACTTATGAGTGAACTTTCTTTATCCTATGGTGTAGTTAAAGGCGTTGATCTTGATTTAACTGAAGAAGAAATCATAAAAATCTTAGAGTCAACTATAGAAGTTTTGTCTATAAAGAGATTAAAACGCCTAAATGCAGATGGCAAATGGATTGACAGCGAATCGGTAAGAGTTTGTTTTAAGAGTAATACATTGCCTTTATATGTTTATGCATATAATTGTCGTCTAAAAGTTGAGCCCTATGTATTTCCGGTAACTCAATGCTCTGGTTGTTGGAAGTTTGGCCACATATTCAAATTATGTCCAACAAAAGTAAAGTTATGTACAAAATTTGGTGAAAAGCATGAAACTTGTAATACAAAGGATTTTAAATGCTTAAACTGTAAAGGCGATAATTTTGTATTTTATAAAAAATGCCCTTTCTACACGAAAGAAAAAGCAATTAGACAAATTATGAGTGAACAACAAATTACATACAGAAGGGCACTTCAAATTTATGTTAATAAAAAGCGAAAAGAAAACCCCACTCATCATGTGACTTTAATAGATGAAACTGGAACATACTTCTACCTAGTCAGGTCATGAATTCTGTCACATGTTTAATATAAAATAATTGAAACAAGTTTATTCATTATGTAACCATTTATATACCAAAATGAACTTAACATAGATTCTTATGACACTAAAGTTTATTCAAAATAACCTTCGTGATTTTAAATACAGGCCTTCAATCTGCGCGGCCAGTCGTCTATCGCAGCACGAATGAGGTCCATGTCAATATCGGCGGCTGCCTTAATCAAGGATGTCTTGAGTGACTCCAAATTGGGATGAGGCTTTGAGCACGCCTTTTCCTCCAAGTGTTGCCATATCTTGTAATCTAACGGATTCAAATCTGGACTGGAGGAGGGCCAGTCTTCGTGCGGGATTAAGTCGATTTCATGCGCCGCCAGCCAGTCTTGTGTACTCTTCGCTCTATGAGCTGGCGCCGAATCTTGTTGGAATACCCAGTGCCTGTTATTGAACATGGTATGAGAAACAGGTTCCGCAAGGTTCGTCAGGACTGTATTTTGATACACAACTGTATTCGTTTTTACACCTTTCTCACAAAAATGTACCTCTGTTAAGCCCCAATAAGAAACTCCCAACCATACCATGAGCGAGGATGGAAAATGACCTCGTTGGACACGCGGAATATGGTTGCTCGCTTCTTCACTACTGTGCGCGTACAACTTATCATTTTGTTTGTTGTAGCTCTCTTCTACGGTAAAAATTTTTTCATCCGAAAAAAGAATTTCTCGATATTTTTTTCCCGCGTACCGCTTCAACAAAGCGCGGCATCTCTTCAGTCTCAGGTTCATTAGACGAGCATTTAAACGATGTCCTGTTTTTCTTCGATATGCCCGAAGCCCTAAGTCTTCATTTAACACCCTTTTCACTGTGGTTCTGCTTAACCCCATCTGAAGTGCCAACAGTTTCTGCTTACGTTTGGGATTTCTTTGAATTCGCGCCTTCACAGCTTTTATCACTGCTGGAGTCCTAACAGACCGAGGGCGACCACTTCTTGACCTGTCATCTACACTAGAGTCTTCATTGTATCGTTTGATGGTACGATAAACGAATCTTTTGATTATATCTAAATTTTTCAGTATGTCAAAAATTTGAAATGGCGCGTAACCGCAACAATGCAACGCAATAACTGCAACACGGTCTTCTTTAAGGGTCCACTCCATATTTAAAAATGAGTAAAATTCTTAAAAGTATACAGTTTTATTTTCATGAACAATTCGAAATTCGAATTCAATAAACTTTTTTGTGGCCAGCATTCTAAAAGAAAAGTTTTTACTGTGTGACAATACTTATAACCTGACTAGGTATAGTAACGTAGTAAAGAGGTCCCTGGATTCGTCAAATGTGTATGAAATTGAACAACCGACGGAAGAAATTTGTAACAGCACTTTATCCAGAAATGAGTTGAATTTTAAACATCAAAAACAAAAGAAACATAATACTAATTTATCCCAGACCACAAATAAGAATAAAAGCCACCATGAAGAAGCAATAATTGAAGAAACGCAAGGACAGTACCGTGAAGAAGAAATACAAAATGCTAATAGGAATGAAGAGGTATTACATAAATTAGAACTAAAAAAAATACTGTTACGGCTAAAAAATATTATCTTGTCGGAAAACACATTTGAAGAAAAATGTATATTAGTGTTTAAAGTTATTGTTGATGAATTCAAAAAGAATGTTATAAATGTTCTATTAAGAGGAGGGATGTTAGAGAGTGTTATTAACCTATTTAATGGATAAGATAAATCAACATGTTAAGATTAAAATATTACAATGGAACGCACAAAGTCTTAAGCCTAAGTTAACTACATTTGCAGACTTATTGTGTCACGAGAAGATACACGTGGCAATTATCTCTGAAAATTGGTTAGTGGCAAATTCAGACGCATATATTAAAGTTTATAATATATATATAGAAAAGACAGAAATGATTCTTATGGAGGTGTAGCGTTAGTAGTACATAAATCGATTATGTCGCATCTAAATTTAATCAGTACTAACAATTCAGGCATAGAAATAATCTGTGTAAAACTCACTAACTGTAAATATGTCGAAAATTTCGTATCTCTTTACTGTCCATCTTCTGTGCGTACCTTACCAACAGACTGGGAACAATTATTTTCATATTTTAGGACGAAAACAATAATTGCAGGTGACTTTAATGGACATCACTCTGATTGGTCGACGCGAACTGATACGCGAGGCATACAAATCAAGGATGCAGCTATGGAAAACGGTTTTATGTCGCTTAATAATGGCACGGCCACCAGGCTAAAAATGGTCAATGGTATTGTTCAAATATCTTCACCTGATGTATCTTTTGTTTCTATGGATATAGGGATCGAATTTGATTGGTCAGTGAGTAACGAAACTTTAGGTAGTGATCATTTAGTACTTAGAATGTCTGTAGATATTCCTAATAACTTTTATAAGGTAAAGAAACGGAACATTAAAAAAGCCAATTGGACTGATTATAAGAAAGAACTTTCTGAAACCTTTTCTAACAGATTAGAAGATAGATGTGAGACGACGCAAGAAATGTATAATTTTTTTCTTAGTCAAATTAACAAATCAGCTGATAATAATATCCCTTTTTATAATATTTGTTATAAGCCTGAATCCCATTTTAAGCCAAAAAAATATTGGTCTCCGGAATTATCTAAAGTTATAGCACAACGCAGGTTAGCTTTAGCATATTTTCGTCAAAACCCCATTCCAGGAAATTTAAGTAAACTAGAGGAGAAAATTCGGGAATCTCATAGATTAAACAGGCAAAATCTTTATATTGGCAGCATTTTTGTGATAGCATAAATAGCACTGTTTCAGTTACTGAAATGTGGCGCCGCTTAAAGTGGGTCGAAGGATATAAACAAAAACACATATACTCTCCAAAAAAAAATAAAAGCAATTATTACATTCCCTAACTCCGGACTACGTTGTAAATGAAAAACCTTTGTTTTTGTCCAAAAATATTTTATTGGAATCTAATTTTTCTATTCATGAGCTAGATAGTTGTTTGAAAAAGAAAGACACGTCGCCAGGTGAAGATGGGGTAACTTATTCCATGATTTATCATTTTAGATTTAACGCTAAATCATTTTTGCTTAAATTATATAATAAAATTTTTGGTCATGGATATGTTCCTTGGCAATGGCGTAATATTCAAGTCCTTCCCATACCTAAAGTTAGTAACAATAATGATTTGGATATAAAGCTCAGACCTATTTCATTATTATCGTGTTTGTGTAAAATATTTCATGTAATGTTGGCCAGACGTTTGAAATGGTATTGTGAAAGAGAAAAAATTCTCTCTCCTTTTACGGTAACATTTAGAAGATCTCACTCTTGCCTGGACACATTATCTCGCTTGGTAACATACATTCAAATTGGATTCTCGAATAATATCCCCACAGTGGCCTGTTTTCTTGACATTGATAATGCTTATAACAATGTTTCGTTTGATGCAGCAATAAAAATACTGGACAATTTTAGGATTGGTACAAAAATGTGTTCATATTTGTGGTCATTTCTCAGTGAAAGGTATCTAAAATTAAATCAACAGAAAACTACATATAACACTTTACTTATGCGGAAGTGCTGTATGGGCTTAGCTCAGGGTGATCCCCTCTCTTCCCTTCTTTTTGATCTTATAACACATAAAATATGTAAGCAAATGCAAAATGTTGTAGTTTCACAGTATGCAGATGATTTTGTGTTATTTATTAGCAATAAAAACATTAAAATATGTGAAAGGTATGTGCAGAGAGCTTTAAATGATATGATTATGTTGTTGAGTGAAATTGGTTTGAATTTATCTTCGAGCAAATCTAAATTATGTTTCTTCATAGGTCGAAGGATGAATTTGCCTTTGGTATGCTTAAATGGTCAGCGTTTACTTTCTAGTGACTGCATTAAATACTTAGGTATGTGGTTGGATAGAAGTTTAACTTGGAGTAAGCATATAAATGAAATTATTGCTAAGTGCTCCAAATTGCTAAATATTTTAAAATTATTAGCAGGCAGCAATTGGGGTATTGACATTATTCATCTACGTAAATTATATCTATCACTAATCAGAAGTCGCATAGACTACGGTAGTTTTATTTATGATAGTAGTACAAATAATAATACTCGTATATTAAAACTTGACAAAATTCAAAATCAAGCATTAAGAGTGATAGGTGGTTTCATTAAAAGCTCTCCTTGTCATGTTATGGAAAGTGAGTTAGCAGTTTCACCAATATTATTAAGAAGACAATTTTTGACATAGAAATACAGTTTAAAGTCAATTTCTTGGTCCAACAACATAACCACCAAACTTATTAATGAGCTGAAATTTCTCTGTGAAAAAAATTATTGGGTTAAGAAAAAAAAACCGCTACTTGTCACAGTGTATAATGACTTAATTGAAGTTGTTATTAATTCTTCGTCGATTCTAAAGACATTTGATTTGGATATTTGGGTAACAGCCATAGACCTTAAAAATGTTATTAAATTAAACCTAAACAGTGTAAGCTTATGTAAAAATTGTTATGAACCTAATTTGTTAATTAATAGTATTATTTCTGAAGCTAACATAAGGTATTTAGGGTGGCATAAAATATACACTGATGGCTCAAAAAATAAAAATGGCTTAGGAGCTGGTTTCTTTGATCAATATTTAGGATACAGGGCTAAATTTAAGTTAAATGTAGATGTGTCAACAATGACGCTGGAACTCATTGCAATTTTTCAAGCTTTGATGTATGCACTTAAAAATAAAATTAATAAAATAGTTATTTTTTGCGATAGCAAAAGTGCTTTACAGCATATAGCTCGGTGTGCCTCTGGTTTCAGAGGTAGCTCGATAGGTTATGATATCTTAAACTTTATTAATATTTATAACAAACGGAATATTTCGTTAATATTGCAATGGGTCCCGGGTCATATAGGCCTTAAGGGCAATGAAGAGGCTGATGGCTTATCTAAGCTAGCTGTAGTAGAGGGTGACATCATTAATTTTATACCAGATCCGACTGAATATGTCTCAAAATTTAAAAGTGTATGTTACAAAAATTGGAAAAGCTATTTTGAAGAGAAATCTAAAACGAAAGGCATCTGGTATAGAACTATACAAAGCGAGCCTTATCGCGTACCTTGGTTTAATGATTGTAATCTCAGTAGCAATTTTGTTAAGTTAGCCTTAAGGCTTCGTTCTGCTCATACTCCGTCAGCAAGGTTCGCTTTTTTAATGGGAAAAAAACCTTCACCGAATTGTGATGTATGCAACAAAATTGAAAATGTTTACCATTTGTTGATGGAGTGTGTCAAGAATGAAAAAGTTAGACAGGCTGTGTTGAAAGAATTTAACGCAAATGTTTTGGATGTCGATCTAGTGCTAATGGTTTTATCAAACCCCAAATCAAAGATGTCAAGAGGGTTATTCCGGCTTGCTTATAGGACGGAATAATTATCTTCTCTATCTATTATAAGTTTCGTTTTTGAGTTAGTAATTTAACTATAGTAATCTCAATTATATATTTTTATTTTGTTAGTGTTAGCAGTAATTAGTATAAGGTATAATGGGATAGGCATGTCATTTTGACAAAAATCCCAAAAAAATTAAAGAAAAAAATGTGAAAACAAAGAGAGGGATGACTCTTATTCCATTCGGCATAAATAGGGTTATCCAATTTCAACCTTCTCTTCAACAAAAAACAATGATCAAACACAATCACAAACATACGCACAAGTATTCAAAGGGCACATAATTCAATTTCAATTTTCCTTGCAACAAAACAAACACGGTGATCAAATACAATTACAAAACATATGTATAAGTACTCACAGAGCACACTAAATTCGACTTCTTAATCACAACCGCCATAAACATGAACATTTCGCACAAGGCACAAAACCATTTTTAATTTTATTTCAAAGCATCGTTAATTAAGTGCTCGACCAAAACCAAATCTACATCTACAATGCCTATCAGCGCAATTCAACGCTCCCGTGGAGCCCTAGTCTTCCCAACAACTAAGCAGAGGCCAACCCGGTTGTGAAACCGGAACCAATAAAGCGCGTACCGTTAAACAATCGACACTCGGGTTGTACACCCTCACTGAGGCCGTCGACAATAGAACAGTTTGATAAGTGAGCCGTCACAGAATTAGTGGAGGCGGCCGTGGTGGGAGCTAGGGCGGCAGCTACCTAGCTGGGGCTGCCTACATCAAGGGGGGAACGGTAGTACCCCGAGCCGCGGACACTCAGCTGACGAGGGTGAAAAGGGTCTAGCTGACCGCTGAGTGGCAGTGAAGTCCCTCTTAACATACTGAGGGAGGGGGTGACAACCCCCCGCCCCTGGGGGAACAACCCCCGACAGGGGCGCAGCTGAGCACCCCCGCCCATGGTAGTCGAGGGCTCGGGAGAGCCCTGAGAGGAAACGCCGTTCGCACCCCGATGCAAACGGCCTGGTGACAGCCCTGGCAGCGCGATGGCATCACTTTCTAAATACAAATTCCTACGCGGCTCAAATACAAATTACAAATTAACAAATAACAAATACCAAAAAAAATTAACGAGTAACAAATACCGTTCCTATCAAATCAAGTTTAATACAAATTAAACAAATACAAATTACTATTTATTAGATTATATACAAACCACAATACAAATAAAGATACACATCACAGTCTATCTATAAAAAATGCCTCGCTCAGACAAATTAATCAACTATAATTATACGACAACGATAATTATCC